CAGTGACTGCCACAGATTGCGGCGAACCACCACTCAGTTCCACGATGTCCGTTTCTATCTGTATAACAGACATCAACGACAATGTACCACAGTTTTTAAATACCCCATATAATAGTAATATTCAATCCAACAGCAAGAAAAACAAATTCGTAATATCTGTAACTGCCTCTGATGCAGATGATGGTGATAATGGTCTTGTGTCGTACAATATAACTAACGATAAGAACTCCCTATTCACCATTGATGAACTTAACGGAAACGTGTTCCTTGCAAAAGATCTGGATGTTAACGAAGTATGCGAGTCTTCGCTAGAAAATTGTGATGTAATATTCTCCGCTGTTGCTAGTGACAACGGACACGAACTAAACACGAACTTTGCGCCTGTCCTGGTGGAAATATATTTCGATGAAAATGGAACGTTGAAGTTTGAGGAGTCTCAATACGAGGGCGGTGTTAATGAGGAAGAGGTACCTCCGGTGTACGTCACCACAGTTGCCGTCATAGGAAACCATGTAGTGGAATACGAGTTTTTTAATCCGGTTGCAGATTTTCGCATCAACAGTTCCACTGTAAGTATAAATTATTACGAATAAGCTACGAGCAAGTGCATCTAAAGCAGAAAAACACAATACTGCACTGTCAATTGCAATTCTCAAAACATATCTTGCATTTACAATGGTTTATGACAAAAGTAGATTCTATCAGGTTATGTTCGTAAAGTAATATTGTAAACATCGAAATTAATAGATTCTTTTTAAGGCGTGATAACAAGTGTATTTCATTGTTATTAAATTATAGCACATCGTATTTTTTCTCTCTTTTATTCTTATTTTTTTAACTTGAATTCGCAGTAAAACTTAGAGTTTGCAACTAGAAAAGTGTCTGCGTATGAGTAAACTGTTCGTTTACATAACATGGCATGCTAAAGGGTATAGAGTGGTATAACTGGAATAAACGTATAACCAGACCACTTAGTCGTATGACTACGACTAGTATACAAATAATGGTTGAATCTCGGCATATACTTTATGCGGCAGCGACTACGTTTTTCCAATTTATATTCTTTTGGCAGTTCACAGTAACATCATAATGCTACTTTTTTCACTGTGTCTATTTTTATGTAGGGTGACATTGTAACAAGTACCAAGCTTGACAGAGAAACGACAGATTGGTATTCATTCACAGTAACTGCAAAAGATACGATTACTAGTAAGCACAATGCTTACGTGCCAGTGAGTAATATTTTATTGTATAACACCAATTCTTGTTTATTTGTGTGTTTTTTTTAACCAGTTTCAGTATTTTGAGACTTCTTGCTTCCATTAGTAAATGATCAACTGAACTGCTTTTTTTAGAAACACATAGACATGGTATTAAGTTTCGAACAACATGGTCAGATATCACGTGCAACACCCTTGTAAAACAAACTTCACCACTAATATATAAAATAAATGACATACATGACTTGTGTTCAGTGCTGAGTTTTAA